CCTCTTTTATGTCTTATGTGCTGCTCCAGAGTCTGACATCAGCAAGGCAGAAGAACAGTGGGAGCATGCTCCCACTCTGCATGCACAAAGCTTCCAGAAGGCAAGAATAATTAAGGCAAAAAGGGCGACTCTGGAGTAAGGCTTGGAGATGATTGGCCCGTCCCATAAGACATAAAAGAGGAGCAAACAGACGTGAGCCTTTGCAGGAAGAAATTTTGTTCATTCTGGTCGGTTTAAACTCTGAAGCTCAGTTTTGACTCTGTGCTCCATTTGGCCTTGCAAAACTAATTGGCTATTAAGTCTCTGGCAGCGTTTCAAGGGCAATAAAGGGGGGGATACTTATCAGCCTTACTCTGAAAGACTGTAGCAGACTTCTGTTGGACTCGTCACAGACTTTTTGTGAATCATTATGGGCTGTGAATGAACATAATTCATAGCTGTTTAAATAAACAGGGTTCTTGGAACTAAGCATGTTATTTTTACTGTCTCAGGAAGCCTAGGTCAGAACAAATAGGCTGGCCTCCCTCTTCTCTGTAACAGCCACTTAAGGGTTAGAAGATTGCTGTCATATCACCTCTGGTCCTACTCTTTGCTAGACTATATATACTTAATTCCTTCAATCGTTCATCGTAATGGTTTAGCCTCCAGATCCCTTATTATCTTTGATAAAAGGTTTCCAGCATGTGAAGAAATCATTCAGCCTAAAGCCACGTCCTGCCTCTTTGCCCCAAGGAAACATGGAATTAGCAGAATTCCTCTCTCGAGTCTCAAAAACAATGCAACCAAAAGGAACACGTTCTTTGTGTTCAACTTCTATTTTGCATTGGCCGTTTGATTTTTAGAAATCGTAGAGAATATTCGTAGCCGTGACCCGACAATTGCGCGATAGACATATGCGCGCTGACAAAATAGCGCCGATTAAAACGCGATGTCAAAATCGCGCCGACAAATTCGCGCCGACAAACTTGCAACAAACAAAAGCGCGATGACAAGCACAATAAAATCAAAAAAAAAATTAGGGTTAGGGTTATGGTTTCGTCGCGATTTTGTCATTGCGCATTTGTCGGCATGCTATTGTCAAAAATCAATTAGCGATTTTGACGGCGCTCATTTGTCCATCGCGGTTTTGTCGGCACGCATTTGTCTGTCGCGGTTTTGTCGGTGAACCCTTGGGTGGTAGATTTAGGCAGAGGTTTGTCCTCAAAGCTTGTGGTTTGGCTCCCGATTTGGTCTTTCCCTTGATTTTTATGCCAACCCCCAGAAATATACAAATTGATAGGTGTCCCCACATCAGCTTACGGGGAGGAAACAGGAATCCGTAAGACATTTGTCTATCCACTCTGTATGCAGTACAACTCTGACTGTTGCTTGGAGAAATACGCAAATCAGGTCTTACACAACTGATCACCTGGTCTGGGACACCAGATGTCTCCGCCTGCATCGAAAGAAGAAGATAGACAGGTGACATATGAAACAATGTATTGTTTTTGGTGTTCATATTGTATACTTGTATTCTATACTGCAGAGGTGTCAAACTTGATTTCATTGAGGGCTGCATCAGGGTTGTCTTTGACCTCGGAGGGCTGAGGGGGTGTAGCAGGGGTGGGTTTCGACCGGTTCGCACCGGTCCCTGCGATCCGGTTGGTCGCCGAACCCGGAAGTAAGTAACTTCCGGGAATGGCGAAGCCCCCCCCCCCCCCGCGCCCGCGCGCGCCCGCACACCCACGCCCGCTCCTTACCTGGTTTTTACGAATTCTGCGCTTCCACGCATGCGCAGAACGCATACAGCGCCTG